TGTGTTCTGAGTGCATACAGCGCCATAAATCCCTTACCTCATACATAAATAATGATGTTTTCAGGTTAAAGTACTGCAAGGGTCAAAAATGACACCACTCTTATTGATCGGTTGGCTCAACACCGGAGGGGCAGATGTGTGTACAGCACGAGACATCGAGGCCTCTCAGCTTCCCTGCGCTCACGATGCCGATGCTCGACCTGTGATGCCATCGTCGTGAGCGGATATTCAGAGTGGTCAGCCTGGAGTTTTGTCTAAATTCCTGAATCAAATATGCGGCATGTTTGGACATTTGAGAGTTATGAGACATGACGCAGTTTTTGTGATCCACATTCTCACTGTCCTGTCACTTAGTGCAGTTAATCATTTGAGGACGTCTGGGGTCAGGAAAGGCAGCACAGCTTGTTGTTTATCTCAACTTGAACTTGAGACGAGCTGATTTCTCTTCAGTTTGCTACATTTGACGTGTGTGCATGTCTGCCCGCCTGCCCAATATGTCAGGACTCGATGGGCTGGCATCAGTTCAGCTATCACATGCCAAATCCGAAAGACTCTCTGAAGCATTAATCAGAGGGAAAGATGGTCAGAGCTGCCGGTTTCCTTTTCCCACTTAATGTGGTCCAGGCCAGTTGGTGAATGTCAGGACAGCCTCGCTGTTTTTCCAAAGCTACCAGCCAGACTCGAGGCCAGCAGAGGAAATAGATTTTGGAAGGCTTAAAGCGTGGCCTGCTGGAGGAAGGATGGGGACATCAGTAGGGGATGCAGCCACATTTAGTCCTTTCATCGCTGGGTGTTTGAAGGTAGAAGCACATGAAATACATGATTTGTTTTCCTTATCTTTACCTTATCTGATTGACTGGTTGATTATACAGGAGAAGACAAAAGTTTGAAGCACTCAGAAAACTGAATTGTGCTCAGTTTAATGGATGAAGTTAATGTTCCACTAAAGGCGGGATCCCTCAAGGATCCATTCTAGGTCCTTTTGTTCTTGATGCACATTTCACAGCTCGTTTGATCCTTCAGTAGTCAGTGTCGCTGTTATGCAGATGACACCGTTTTATCTGCCTGCGACCCTTCATGAGGAAATATCCAACACTTATCATTTCAAATCACTCGATTTTAGTCAAAGCTGAGGTGCCTCCTGTTTCTCCACTGTTTCTATTTTTACACTTTATGTGTTTATGTTGAAGCTTTGAGGTTGACCGCTCACACCCTGCAGTAGTCCACTACGACTGTTTGTAATAGCATAACAGGCCTGAAGTGTTCTGCAGTTATTAAACACGTTTCCTGTAATCTTATCACCAAACCCACATCATACTCTGCTCTCAAGTCTCTTTTCTGACTCGCACCCTGTTTTTAATTACTTTGTGTTTATTCTTTGCCTGCGCCTTTGGCAAAAGCTTGATTTAGATGGCAAGCTCAAACACACACCCCATTACCAGAGAGACGAGCTCGAGCCGTTCTCTGTGAAGAGAGCCAGCTTAATCACATTAGATACAGCTTCCTTCGCCTGCAGCGATAAGACACTGCAAACATGCTCGTTG